TTTGAAATACATAATTAAGTTTAACTAGAAATATCAGGATGGATCGCAAACATTGATGAAATTTCAGATGTATAACGACAAACGTTCGTGTCATAAACCTAAACACACTAACACGTGACGTTTACCGGCCGTGTACGCAATGATGGTCATTGCATATTATCAAACCAGTTGTTCATATCTAGTTGTGAAAAAAAATTAAGCACACAGTTAGCACAGTTAGAATGACTAGGGAAATCTTCAATGAACGCTGTCGAGAATATTTTTAGATATCGTATTCATCATCCCCAAAGAAGACGGATATGAATGTACGAGGACATATAACAAGTTATATTGAGATTGACGTTTCGAACACTGGTTTGTTTCCGTCGTTAATGTAAAGTGGTTGTTGTTCCTGTTCGCCGGGACTGTTTCAGCCTTGCTGCATACAGGGTATTATCACCGTGCTCGACGCACGATATTTGACCAGCTTTTTCACTGCTGACTGTCCGTGAGATCTTCCGCTGGGGGCTCGTGTAACCTTTGTCCCCTTTGCGGTTCTCGTAATTGTTGGTAAGTCAGCGTGCTTACTGTCCTGTCCCTAGTTCACTGACGGACTAATCACTTATTGCGGCCCGCTTCAAGCATGGATATAACACCCGATAAGCAGCATGGCTGAAACAGTCCCGGCCAACATGAACAACCACCACGTTACTCTAACGATGGAAATAAGCGAGTGTCCGAACCGTCAGTCTCAATATAACTCAGTCCATTTCCTTGTACCTTCTTCTCCGTCTTCTTTGGTGGGCGATGAAAACGATAAGATATGAAACCTCAATTCTGTGCGCATATTACTTGCAGATGTATATTTATATATACACACTTTCACTTGGTGTACAGAACGAAAATGTGGCACATTCGATCGCGATCATGAAATAATTCATGTGCTCTTTTAAGAAGGTAAAACAGGGGTCAGAATTTTCAGAAGTAGAAAAAAGTTGGCATCTCGCCGCGCAAACGGTTTTTCCTGGCGGCCGGTAGAAGGGTTGAAAGCTAACTCTTGAACTCCTTAACAGTGATTTAAACTCGTCCCCCGGCTACGGAAAAACGCTTTCGCAGCGAAATGCCATCTTTTTCGCATTCTTAAGTCTTCAAAATGATTTTTGCCAAAGGACAAGGATATTAATACTTTATTGATAAAAAGTAGATTTTGGAATATGTACTGTAAGTCTAGATAGTTAATCGAAATTCTTCATTTCCGGAACCCTCTCGTATGCTCTGTTACCTGTTTGGCAGGATTTATATTTTGGAAGACTAAACAAGACATCTGAAAGGCAAGAACAGTTTTAAGAACACATTCTATGAAAGATATATTTGACGCATCTTGAAAACCAACCTATATATTTTTAAACGGGCGAGTACAAGAAATAATTTGTTAATATATGTTTTCCATGAAATATATATATATATATACTCTAGTCCACGGGTCCTCTGCTTTGTCGGTTGTGATTGGGAGTATGATAGGTCCCCTGCTTTGTCGGTTGTGATCGGGAATATGATGAATGAATGAATCTGAAAGTGTTTCGCCGATCTACTCAAGGAACAATTAAGTTCCGCTTTGCCAAAAAGCTCGCAGGTGTTTCACCGATCTAGTCAAGGAACAATTAAGTTCCGCTTTGCAAAGGGGCACGCAACGCAAACCCTCAATGACCGTCACATAGTGACAAAGGTGATATGATGACAGATATAACGATATCGCCTCCCTTAAATCCTCATGATCGATCTGCACATACATTTATACTCATTTACATCAGCAAAGGTTCCGGTACTTGGGCATAAGTAGTTCAATGTTTAAACAGCTCAGAGTATAGCCAGTCATTTTTCACCGTTTCCTTACATTCTTTTTCCTGATCAAAGCTTCTGATCGCCTCGGCCTCTTTCACTATGTGTTAAAGTAACAATAGTAACGGATTAATTACTGGTACGTCAGCTACGTCGTATTTAGTATTTAAACTGAAAAATGAACGTTTTGCCATCTCTGCCAAGCACAATACTTCCATGTCAATATCATTTCCTTAATACCCTAGAAAAAACTGATGGTAGGTTTTCCTTCAAAGAAGCATGAATAAACGTTAGGGACATTATAGTACCAGGAGACGACTACATCGGACATCCGTAATTATTTATTCTGAAACTACTACATATGCTTGACTGAAAATTGAAACAAGTTCCGGTGTGTCCCACAACATGGAAGCCATTCCCCTGAAAAGCAATTCATTTTTAACAATAATTAGCTTGGTTCACAGTCCAAAGTTTGTGGTTTAGTTGCCACCTGATGCTAAATATGAAACTCATGGGAGACTTTTGATGTAAGTAAAAAATTGAGATCCAAAATAAAATGATTTGTTAATGTGATCTTCATGAATACCTCATGCATGCGAGATGCAAATCGGCCCCCCTAAAGGCCTGGTAATACTGTTTGAACCAGGTAGTATGCAACACTTGTATGAAAGCTGTTTGGCTTTGGTAGTCACTGCTTGATCCACCAAGAATGTGTTTT